GGTTACTTTGAATTCCTTTATTTTCGGTCTGATATTCATTCGACATCATTTTGCAACATTGCACGATGGGACGACCGATAACGAAGCATGTTACCCGCCTGTGTAAATCGAATTCACATTGCATTTTGAAACTTTTCGGTCCAGTGAGGAGCAATTTTTAATGAAGGGTGTTATGAATCTTCTTATTCCACGAAACAAGGAGGAAATAACGTAACGAAGCTTTGAAGGTGGAAAACGGTTGTTCCCCGGTAGCAAATACCTTTCGGATAAATACATTATCGTCCTCATCAATGCTTTGTCCCTCCCGACTGTTTCATTTCCATGTCTCCCCATCCTCTTTCTCTCTCTTTCTCTTTCTCCCGTCTCCCTCTCTCCTTATCCCTCCCTCTCTTATGAACCTCATTAAAAAAAATTCAAAAATGAACTTCGGGTATGATAATTACTATCGCAACTAGAGTGCATAAAAAGTATTCATGATGGCAAAGAAGGGAGCGGTTGTTATCAACATTAAACCGCGCAGTTTTCATAAAGTTCTTTCCAAGACACCTTCAAGGGTTTCCTCAGATCAGTATTCTCTTTTACTCATAGTTTAACAAATAAATGCGAGAAAAAAATACTTTACTGTATTTAAAGTGAGAAGAAAATTTTAAAAAATGTCTCGAGCAACAGTTTAGTGAGGCGTCAACGCGAGTCCGGGCATCTCTACGGCGAGTTTTCCGAAATTTGTCTTTATAACCGGAAAAATCCAAGGAAATTAAATAAAATTACGTTCATTTTGCCTGATTCACAGAAAGTTGCTCTCCATTTTAATGTATGTGAAACAATCGATTATCATTCAATGTTTTTGCTTTGTTTCGTAAATTCCTCAACTTTCATCTTCACGGATTTCTTTTTCCTCCTTTATCGGGTTGTATCAGATAATACTCACTTTTTCTCTTTTCGCCCGATTATTAGATTTCGGTTGTCAAACTAACACTATGGCCATTTCGGCTTCGCTGCCATCACCAGGTGCTTAAAACGAACACTAAAAACTAAAATTAATTCTTTTAACTTCAGTTTCATTATAATTTCAGTCGGTTTCTTTCGTGGCAGCAAAGCCAAAATGGCCATAGTGTTAGTTTGACAACCGGAATCTAATAATCGGGCGAAAAAGAAAAAAAAGAGTATTCACGGAATTTCATACGATGAATTTTTGGGGTCGAAAAGCATTTTGTTCCTTGACGAGAACTCATTAAAATCGCAAGTTACAAATATTACACCATAATATAAATTCGCACGAGTCGCGTGAGACGCGAAGCGATAAAAGGCGTTGCCCCCTAGTTAAAAAATAATGTAATACCCCCCTCTACGCCAAAAATAAATAAATTGGGTTTTACAGCACGGCAATTATGTGGCAAATGAGTCGGTAAAAAGGGTCAACCGCAGCGACTATGGCTCTGTACAGGAACACAACAACAGCTGTTGTGATTGTCGACCGCAATCGCGTCTTGCATCCGACAGAGTTGCCGAGATAATTAAATAATTTCAATTTTATTCTAAGACTATTCGGACGACTTTTCAAAGCACAGTAACATGAACCCGAAGACGTTGCAGAAACCTTGAAATGATCATGTGTCGTGCAATTACTTTATGTCCAATCGACATTTTTCATGGAACTGAATGATCGTAAAATATTGACAGAAAAAATTAGGATTGTTGAAATTAAAATAAAATATTATGGGATGTTGGAGTTTTTTAGCCAACGTGCGTAAAAAGTTCAGCTTAAAGCTGAAATCTCATTGAAATGTTTAATGAGAATGTTTAATTTTAATGTTCATGTTAATGTTTAATGTTTTGTGTAAAATATTATGGTTGGTTGGTTGTATTTCGTGAGTTAACATATTAATACGACGACACGAGAGCCGCCGGCGCTTGGATGCAACTAAACGTGCTCAATGGATGGTCGTGTTGCATACATCAAACACTGAAGGCGTTATGGTTTAAAGCGCTAAACCTTATTTTAAGTTTTGAAAGATACACAGCAAAATATTTCATATTTTGGCTACCAAAAATGAAGCTATTTCATAGTGCTGAGACGAGAAATATGAACATTCTTACATTTTTATCCCAGAAATCGTTAAATGAACAGGGTACAAAAAGCAGAGGGTTCCAATGCTGAGAATCTCTACATCGCGTAAAACATGAAACGAATGGCCTACCAAAGAAGGTCCGAGCTCCGTAGAGTTTAAATTTAAATCTCAATCTGTAACCAAGAAAAAGTAAATTTAGGGCATGTCCTCGCTCATTTCAGTCGGGAGGTACTTTGGTTTTTAAATGACGGTGGTGAATTACAAAAGTCCGGAAACATGCTGTCTAAATTTGCATTTCCTGCGAGAAAAAAAGGAAAAACCTTCCATCAGAGGATGCTCTGTGCTTCCAACTTGTTAAACTATGTTGTTTCCCTCTTGCTTTAGACCCATTTCTCTTACTCAGACTGCTATTAGCCACACTTTTTCTTTTTATCAGGACGAAGCTCACTAACAAACTCGAAGATGGGACAATATCTTCAGTTTCTAGGAAAACACATTTTAAGGAAGAACTTATCGGTAAAAAGACCTGTCAGAATCAAAATAAATATCATGAAGCGAAACATGCATCGTAGGATTAAGTCTACATGAACTAGTATTACCCTTGAAACAACCGCATTTTTTAAGACAAAAAAATATCCCATTTGCTTATCATGGGACTGACAATAATTACTTCCGCGACACAATTCTTATTGGTTGAAATCATTT